GTAGATCCGATTTGGAACGGGCATGTTTAAGACGTAGAAGCTGCAAAAAACCGGTTTTGGATTATAAATCATTATTGCCATTGTAAACACTTGAAATAGACAGGCTCATTGTGGTAAGATGTCCAACAAGCTCTCAAATATAAGATCTAGGCCACAGTTCACCATTTATGCACCTGAAAATCGCCCGAAACCCGAATAACTGATAAGTGAACCTAAAAAGGTATATGGCGTAAAATATATATAAAATGTAAGCGTAAATATGTAGTATATAGTAAATGGTATATATAGTATCTCGTTTTTCCCGTAAAATGGATTTATTCGAAATGCACGAGTTAAGTAAATGGCAAAAGTTACAAAATATAAAAGAATGAATGCTACCTCCACATTAGCCCACAATTAATGCTACTCCAACGGTATACCACAGTATTTCGGCTGTGTTTTACAAAACGTTTTTAGATAGTCACTGTTCTTTGTCACTAGCTGCCGCATCGACGAATATTGCGTGAAAGCCCATGGGGATTCGTGGAACGGGTGGAACGTAGCTGAAAAAAAGTGTGTTGGTATTTTTTTGCGACAACTCGGAAGCGACTTGAATGTTTTGTCGTTGATTTGGGGCAGCTAAACCGCACCGGCAAATCTCGCGAAGGCTTCTGCGTCGACAATCATGAAAATTGGCTTTTGCCGCTTATTGGCGCTCATCACCGGCACCAAGATCACCCCTAAAAGTCTTGAAAAAAATGTTTAATTTATATAATGGTACCGTCATCTTCGGCCGTTCCGTTCGGACTTGGTACGAAAACAGGCTCTCCGAAAAGTTGCTCCGGATCGTCCTTGTAGTAGATTACTGTTCCATCGCGGTTGACATCGTTTTTGACCACCTTAAAAAGTGAGCATCAAAATTGTCCATTCAGTATATCCTGTATATTCAGTACTATATGATGCAGTCATTTCAGAATAACAATAAAAAACGCCAAAGGCGGGAACCAACCCCGGGAAGCCGATGTTCCTGCCCAGCGTATAGTATCGTCCTTCCGTACACGAATCGATATGGCAGTCCGGTGAAGCGCTCATTGAAGCGGGGCAGTTCAAAGGCTGAAAGGAGTTAATGGGTACTGTCGCAGTTAGGTCTTCACAAACATTTTTGGCAGATTTTGGCAGGGCTACAAAAGACAGAGTCATCGGTCTGAAGCATTGCTTGAGCGCCTCGCGATGATGTGGCCATCTGCAAGTGTCTATGGTTGTTTAGCAGTGCATTCGGCCCCCCTTACCGCTAAAAATCTTGAAAATGGCTACATCTAACTATATGAAAGCAGGGTTAAAAAACCGCTTCGCGGCTTTTGAACCCTGACCCCGTAGAAAAAATGAAAATAACGCGCTCGGTCCCTTTATATCGGCTAACGCAACTCCCGGCCTAGGCTAATTGATTCCGGTTCCTGTTCCCATTTCGCGTGGGGAAAAACTGTGCGGGGGGAAGAGGCTTCGCGGAACCTTCCATCTTTTCGTTATTTTCTCGGCATTTTTGCAACGCTGACTGGATAGAGCATCAAAAATATACTAAGTGGTTTTACTTTAGCTAAAAATATTGTAATATAAAAAAGTTATAGCAAAAACAAAAAAACTATTGAAACTGGTCTCCAGAATGCTAGTTTTCGGTATTTCTCGCCAATTTTTCGATATTTTGAACCCGTCATTCGATAGAGCATCAAAAAATATACTAAGAGTTTTAATTTCATCTAAAAATATTGTTTTGGGGAATAGCCATATAGCAAAAAGAAGGTTTGTTTTGCGTTTCCACATGGGATCGTGGAGTCGGGAGTTAGTTTTTCGACATTTTCAATAATTCTCGTAAAATTTCTTTAATGCCATTCGATAGAGCGTCAAAAAATATACTAAGAGTTTTATTGACAACTCAAAATAGCATCATATAAAGAGTTATAAAAAAACGAAGAAAATCCCCCCCTGCACAGCTTTTCCCCCACGCGAAATAGAACAGAACCTTGATTCCTAACAAAAAGACTCACTGAGACGTTCACAAAAACTTAATTTTAATATCGAAAATAGCATTTTTCCTAACATTTGGTAGTTGTGCAGTCATCGCAAGGCCATGACGCGCCTAAAGAGGTATGATCCGATTTCCGGCCAAAATGACGACATTCGAAATGACGACAGCCAAAATGACGACAGCCAAAATGACGACAGCCAAAATGACGACATTCGAAATGACGACAGCCAAAATGACGACAGCCAGAATAGCGACAGCCAGAATGACGACAGCCAAAATAGCGACAGCCAAAATAGCGACAGCCAGAATAGCGACATTCAAAATGACGACATTCAAAATGACGACATGCAAAATCAGCCATAATAGCTGGGAAAAATCAAATTTTTGCATGTCGTCATTTTGAATGTCGTCATTTTGAATGTCGCCATTTTGGCTGTCGCTATTTTGGCTGTCGTCATTATGGCTGTCGTCATTCTGGCTGTCGCTATTCTGGCTGTCGGCATTTTTACTGTCGTCATTTTGGCTGTCGTCATTTTGGCTGTCGTCATTTTGGCTGTCGGCATTTTGGCTGTCGTCATTTTGAATGTCGTCATTTTGGCGGTTTCCCGTGTGATCCATACCTTAAATATAGTGCAACCTCTAAGTTCTTTGTGCAGCTGTGGTCAAACTTGCAAGCCAATCCGACCAAGCAAATTTGAAACGCCACCTTGACCTTTTTTATTGGGATACCCTATAGAAATTACCACGGCCACGTCGATGCCAGCCTCATTAGCTCCGGAAACATCCGTAGGAATGACGATTCGATGGAGAAAAAAACCGGAACAACGGGTTCTGAATAAATTTATTGTGATTAATGTTATCGGTGGATCCCTACCATAGATGATTTAAAGCAGTAAAACTTTTAAAAAATTTAGAAAAATGCTTGAAAAAGTCGAAAGTTTGGTCAGTTTGGGTCGTCCCACCACCCCGCGAATCCTAAAGGTTCGAAGGATTTAGCGACCTAAAATTAAGTTTTTTTATTAAAATTTGTGTAGTTTTTATGGTTGGCAGTCGCCTGATCGAAAATCGCCTGATCGAAAAATCGCCTGATCGAAAATCGTCTGATCGAAAATCTCCTGATCGAAAATCGCCTGATCGAAAAATCGCCTGATCGAAAATCGTCTGATCGAAAATCTCCTGATCGAAAATCGCCTGATCGAAAAATCGCCTGATCGAAAATCGTCTGATCGAAAATCTCCTGATCGAAAATCGCCTGATCGAAAATCGCTTGATCGAAAAATCGCCTGATCAAAAAATCGCCCTATCGAAAATCGTCTGATCGAAAATAACTCAAAAAATTTAGGGGGTTTTTTAACTTACACGGGCATTTCATAGAAATGCATTCGTGCCTGGGGCCCAATCCAATTTTGCATAGCGTCCCGTCGTGATCGCGGATCGGGTGAGACGTACAAGCGAGGATTTGCACATGCGTGCTAATGTTTTGCTGAAACGTCGAAAGTGATAGAGCCTACAGGGTGTCCCTAATAAGAAACAACCCCCACCCCTGATCTCTAGCTGGCCGCAGACGTGCCCGACTTTATGATTTACGAATGACTTTTAGATGAATCAAAGTGCGTAATATAATAGATACAAAATTAATCCTTGTTGTGAAAAGCACCTCCGAATAATGTAGGAGCGATCGGTTGGAGAAATCATCAAGCTAAGGGTCGTTGATCCCTAAAATCGGCGAGATCCCTTGAAGTAAAAGCGTAGAGAGCACGGAAGACGGCGACCCAAGAAAAACAACACTAGCTTATACAGGGTGCCCCATCAAAAAGCACCCCTCCGGCATTTCGCCGTAGCACATCCGATCAGTCCCAAAATTCCTGCAGTAGTTTTCCAGCTACGACAAAAATAAACTTTATTATTGGTTTTTCATCGGGTTTTCGTCGGAGTCAACCCTTCAAAGATTAGGTTGTAAAGAAATTTCTTGCGGTTTTTGCTTTGAGGTGTTTTTTCTTCATGAATTAATTCGGTGAAAGTTGTTCTGTCGTGGGGGTTGAAAATTTGACGGCTGCCCATTCTTTTTCATAATTTTTTCGCCCAAAATTTTTAACATGGACTTTGTAGTGCCTGATGAGCTTGATCGATTGCAAGTATTATGGGGTGTCCACGATGCTTATTTCCGGCTAAGTTTCGAAGCAAACAAGAAAATGAAGCTATTTTGGCCCCTACCTTGGAGCCTTGTGAATCTTAATTGTGAATCTCCCGTCCTAATTTTTTCAGACAAAGTCAATAGAGTGATCTTGTAGAGCATTGAACGCGCTGTAAAATGACATAATTCAATAAGTTTCTACATAAACGCTGTCCTCCTTGAAAAAACACCTCAAAGCAAAAACCGCAAGAAATTTCTGGCAACCTAATATTAAGTGAAAATGACGCGGCGAAGCTCCTTACCACGAGACATTTTTCCGGACAAAAATTTAACCGAAGAAAAACGGTGCAAGTCGATGCAAAACCCCAAAAGGCATCCGACAAAACCGTTAAACAGGGAAGGAGCTGAGACAGTTTTGATGCGCATGGGATCGTGAGAACTCGGAAATACTCTTTCGATTGCCCAGGGTCCATAACAGGCACATGGAACGGAAACTTCTTTCAAGCCGAAATTTTGAAGAGGCTCGTTAAAATACCGGATAGCTCCATTAGCGCACCTAATTACATATCCGCGCTGAAAAAGCGTGCCAAAAGTTCTGAAAAATTCTGCGAATGGCCGTGGAAGACTCTTTTTCTTACCAGTATGAATTGTCGGTTTGCGCAATATTCCCGGGCGAATCGGAGATGAGGGGGCGCGTGAATTGCTGATTTAGAATTCTTGGAAGCCGCCGTTCGCCTTTGACAAATACCGGATCATTGGGCAACATTCTGGCTTGTGGAACCGGACTGAGTAAGGTCGTACAGTGGGTCTGAAAATAGTTGTATACAATCATAAACAATACAGGGTGTCCCAACCCCCTCCTCCTCACCTAGCGGTCAACAGTCGAGTCCGATTTTTACGATTTAGATATCTATCGAAGGCTCTCGAAAAGGCGAGAAAACAAGGAGGGTCCATTTTCTTTTAGTATGTGGTTTATTCAATAATTTTACGTCCAAAACCATGAAAGGGCTGGATTTTGCAAGATCTGCAAGCTACCAGAAGGAAATTCCTGCTAAAAATGTCCAGTTTTTAGAAAAACATTACATAGCGATGGAATGAGATTAAATTTTAGAAAACGAAACCCGCTTGTTTTCTCGCCTTTTAAGAGCTTTTGATTGATATTAAAGTGCAATCGGAAAATCGGACACGACTGCGGACCGCTACGTGGGGGTTTTTTTGGGACACCCTGTATATGAAAAACTTGACAAACGGCTCAAGAATTATTCTCATAACCAGCCGGAAAGCCCGCTTTTGCTGTGCGAGTTTCGCCGGCGCTGGAATGTTGTCTTTATGTGAGAAATTCTGGGCTCTATACCGATATAAGTGTATTTTCAAAATTAACAGGTATCAAACTGGACATGAGCTACTCAACAAATGAATAGGGTATCAATTTCTGTATGGGGTATCTAATTCCTGAAATAAGGTATCAAACCCGACCTGAGGCATTGAAAAATGGGATTTTTGGGCCCGGGACCGATCAAGGCTTACAAATTCTTGAAATTCGGGTTTTTGGCCGATAGAAGGTATCCAACTCAAGAAAAGCGGATCAGCAAAGGCCAAAAATTATTTTTCCTAAGTTAATTTTTGCCTTAAATCTGCCATCAATCTAAAAGGACTCAGTTCTTTAGTATTATGCATAACTAAATAAATATTGAAGAATTCAAGAATATTGAAGATATATAATAAGTGAAAAAGTTGTATAATATGTGAAAAAGTAGCAATAAAAATATGAGAAAAAGTTTGATAGCAGCCAATTAAATGGTGTGTTAACCAAAATGACAGCTTTTGGCCTTTCTTCATATATGCACATCCAAATTTCTAGGGCAAATTTTAGGACAAATAAACTTTAGGGAAAATGATTTTTAGGAAAAACCTATTTTTTGGTAAATGAGTTTCGAAGCTAAAATGATTTTTCGACATTAATCAGCCGCTTTATGACTTTTCAATCCTGGCCCTGTCTGGATTCCATTTCATCCTTCACTTTGTATAATCGAACTAAAATCATATGACAAAAATGAAAAACAACCTTCTCTGCCCTCTTATACAGGGTGTCCCCAAAAGATCTTCAAAATTTGGAGCCAGAGGTTTCAAATGGAGCTGAAATCTCTGCACAGAGGTAGTTATTCCTTTTTTCCATGTGGCTGGAACGTGCTTGATTTATATGGGTCGATTTGGTTTGTGGTAACAGAGAAAATACTTTTCATTTTTTATTTATTTTTGGATTTTTGCAAATTTGCATCAAAAATATGCGTTATTCTTGAATTTAAGAGCCGATTTTTGGCATGTAAATTTTTGACAAAATTGCCATTCTTCTAAGTTGAGCTTTTGGAAACGATTGCTCATGCAGCGGGAAAACGCATCAGCAAGCCCGCTGAATACAAGATAGATTGGTTGAAACTATCGTTCAGCGCCTGAACTTTGCGTTTCAGACTTTGGACTGACTTAAACCCCAAGTCCAAATCTAAACTTAAATACCACTTAAAAGCTCATCGAACTCTGTTTCGGGGCTATGGGGAGGCAGATTGCCAAAATGCAATGATAAGGCGTGATTTGGATCGATAAAACAGTGGTTTTCAGCCAATTCTTTTTACTCTTCATAGGCAACGTTCCCGCTATGCCCCAGCAAGAAAAATGGTATTTTTTTGGCAAAATTTATGCAAAACGGGCTCGTAAGTTCAAGAATAACGCATATTTTTGATGCAAATTGCAAAAATTCCTATATTAAATTAAAAATAAAAAGTGCATTTTTTGCTATAACTTTAAAACCCGTTGGCCGATAGGGCTCAAACTTTCCATATACATGGGAAATTGGCTTCGCTACCTCTGTGCAAATTCTCAGCTCTGGGTAGGTGCCCTCTGTTTCACTTTTTTGGGTCTTTTTTTGGGACACCCTGTACAGGGTGTCCCAAAAGCACTCCTCTAGCGCGAGCGCACATGAAGCGACCTGATTCTCGCCGCTTAGGCATCTATCGAAAGTTTTCCAAGGGCGAGAAAACATGGAGGTTCAATTTTCTTTATTATGTATTTTTATTGACGAATTTTACCTCCAAATTCCATGAAAACGGCAGATTTACGCGAGATCCGCATGCTAATTGCAAAATTCCCATTGAAAAGATACCTGCTTTTAGAAAAACGCTGAATATCGGACGAATCAGAAAAAATCTTAGGAAAATGAAGCCTGCTTGTTTGCTCGCCTTTTCGCGGGCTTTCGAATGGTATAAAAATCATCCTGATCTGAGCTACCAACGCGACCGCTAGAGGGGGTGCTTTTTGGACACCCAGCAGTCGAATCCCTACTCTAGTCTATGCTAATTATCCCTAACGAAGAAGTTTTTGACAAAACTTTAATTTAATATCGAAAATCTGTAATTTTGAAAGATCGCGTTACGTGTGCAGTCATCTCAAGACCATTGCGCACCTAATGACGGTATACATACTTTAAAAGTATCCCCTCAAGCGAGATATCCTCCAGACAGACTCGACGGAAGTGGATGCAAAGTGTCACACACAAACACACAGAAGGCACTAGTTTTTATATATAGTAGGAGGATTTTCATTAACAATGAGTTTAGGAGAAATGAACATAACCTATAGTTCATGTGCAAGCTTCCTATCACCCTACGCCCCAGATGCTGCCGAAGTCGAGCTCAACAGAATCAAAATAACAAAAAAAATAGCTAACACGCTCAGCTGCCTTGCCATTGTCCATTTCCATAGTGAAACACGCCAAAATATTGTTGATTTAAAATGACACTATTCGCTACCAATTTGCTTCTACATTCTTTAGCCAAAGTAGTGCCCAGGGACATCTGGTTTTGTCGTCACGGCGCGCCAGTAGTCTTCCCTGTCCATCGCTCTGACGGATGATCCTTATACATTCAGATTTTTTTGAGAGCAGATGCGGAAAGCTGCAACAGAAATACCTACGCGCATGCCGAAGTGAAGTGGCCGTTGACGCCCATAGTCGATGCGGTCGCTGCGAAACGCATCCGCGTCCAATTTTTTTTGTGATTCCACATCTGCCTCCCGTAAAACTTCGTTTGATATGCAGCGTGTCCGAATAATTTTAAGAGTCGCGCTCGAATTTTACCATTTTGATACGATCCATCCGAAAGCCTTGACAATGTGCTCGTAGAAACTTTTAGGGTGCTTTCAGTGCAAATTTTTAACTGGGAGAGCAAGGCAAATCTTTTGGATTTGGCCTATACC